GGCTGTTGTCTTTCAGAATAACTAGAAGAAAAAAAGATTTGGATTATGGTTGGTGAGTATAATATAAACCAAATCTTACACCTTCTTTACTATCTACAATCGTCTTGAGAAAGCCAATTCGTAACTGGTCTTTCCTCTGAAGCTAAGTCTTCTTCAGTGGGAAGACATGATCGTGTCCCAATTTTGAGTAAAGAGGTACTTAAAGCAGAGTGTTCTTTCTTAGTTTATTTCAAATTATTCGTTCATACGGCTTTTAAAAAAGCTTATGAGCTGTACATAATCCAGTGGGATAGGCCTTGAGTAGTGTGTTAATCATTAAAAAACTGGCTTGTATACAAGTGAACCTTTTCGGACAACGGATCGAATAAATCTTTTATTCTTTACACTGAAAAATACAATGATACTTCAAACCGAATCAAATTCTGTAATAAGAATGCTTTATGGAAAAACAGTGGATATCTCTGGCCTTGGCTCTTATCGCATAGTAAAATCCAGGAATCTGTTGGGCATTCTGAATGAAGCATTTTAAAAGTCCGAGAATTGGCGGTTGAAGACTGTCAGAAATTTCTGCCTAATTTCATGTATTGCGATTCTAGTAGGAACAGGAATAGAAAGCTTGCGCCGGAAGCAAACTCAAAGTGGTTTTAATCGACTAAACGTGGGGGCAATCTCGAACAGTGACCAACAGATTGAGGGTGCATCAGCCTCAGTCCAATGGAGTTGTATTTTTCGGGTGAGCGTTCAGTATCCCCTTTAGTCGCCATTTTTTATTTTCAAAGTATAGGAAAATTTGGGGAGAGTACAAAGTGCAGTTAAGAGGGTGGGCACAAGGTGAAATGTCGAAGTGGGGGAGTGTGAGGGAGCGACTGTTTCCATCGTCCCTTGCCAGACCATGTGGGGAAGAAACGCGTGACACAGGCCCAATAACTCGACGTGCACCACATCATGAGTGACTTCTTTTTCTTGTGTGCTCTCCTCCTTCCAATTAAAGGCCTGCACCGCAGGCTAAAGATGCTTTAGATCATTATAGACCATATATTTTCGGCTGCCACCATGGCGACTGAAGTAAAGCAAATTAGGTGGCAGAAATATCCAATGCTTGTGACCAAAATGTTTTAATGACAGTTGAAATGCGATCGGGTTCAAAGCCCGTCTCTCAAAATGCTTTCAAAACAATCTGAATGCTCATAGGTTTTTGATGGATAATTTACTCAGTTCTTGCAACTACAAACATTCATCAAATGTGTAGAGTCTAACCATGTCCTGAGCTTTCTAATGATTATAAAATAAATGAAACTGATTAGTCAGTTGCTAATTCATGCTTTCGAAATGTTCTATGATGGTACTTTTATGATGTATTCCAATTTTTGTATTGTAAGTGCTGTTGCAAAGCGTGGGTACAAATTTATTTACATTCGATGACGGAAAACAACCGCAATTATTGCAATCGGATAGTTAAGCCATGAGTTTTGACCATAAAATCTCAACGAATGTTTTCATTCAAGACGGTTGATACACATAACTATCCAAATAATTCAGTGGCTAATTAAAGTTTTTACACGTCCCAAGCGCAATTCTACAGTAAGTAACCTTCCAAGAAAACAAAGGAGCAGACAACTATGACGACAACAGAAAAGTTCCTGCGTGAAATATGCTTGTCACTTTCTCGTGTCAAGTTTTCGTAAAGTAGTATGAGTCCTGTTCTCCTTTATTCAATAGCAGCACCTTCAATGAATGACTTTCTGTTGCTTATTTTGTTCTTGTTGTGGAAAGTTCAGTGCGCGTAAGATCTGTGATATGTCGTTGTTTATTACTGTTGAGATTTGAGGTGATTTTGACAGAAGAATGTGTGGTGGGACTTAAATAGTTCGAAGCTTGCGGCTAGTTTCGTCCCAACGCGAGTAGCAATTTGATAGAATAATATTTACAGAGAGGACGATTTACTTGTGTTTGAAGTTTTGAAAAACTATCTTTCGAAAGAAAATCTGTTTGAAATTGGTTCTTGGTGACCTTAGTATTTACTGTGCATCAAACGCGTTTACATTTAGTGTTTGAAAATAATCAAAGAACAGGTTTGGTTTAGCAGTTTTGGTTTTTGGTCTTGGAGAAGCACATGATTCAGTTATTGTACCCGTTGTCGTAGGCTCAATAACCATGCAAATGCTCGGGTTTGAAATCTGTCCTTGGACGAAACTCTAAAGCAACTTTGACCATACTAAGGTGATGAGTAGACATTTTTTTCGAATCTAGACGCGCTCTCGCAAAGCTGGGTTTATTACAGTGAGTAAACTGCTCAACTTCGTTGGCAGCTTCTGGAACCACAAGGTTCTTTTTTGAAAGCCATATCTCGCAAGTTAAAGTCATCCGGTTTGATTGCAGTCGGGTAAAATGTTTTCCGTTTTCTTCTTTTTCGAAGTAGGAGTCTGCGTGGTATAGTATTTGTTTTTTATTAACTATGGCTCTATCATACAGCTGGCCATGAGGCGTATGAATGTAAAGAGAATTCTTAGTCTAACAGTGTATATTGACTTAATCAGAACCGACAAATCACACACAGCGATTGCTTAGATTGAGGGAGTCAACTTATCTGAATTAAACTAGACTGAGAATGTATCCAACACGAACGAAGTAGGCAATCTTTGAGGACTGTTTTGCTTGCGTTTTCTAGGGCAGTAGATCTTAAAGCTTTCGAATACTGTAGCATCAGTGAAATCTTCATTAATAAATCATGATGCTTCCCACTTTTACGTCAACATAGGATTAAGTTTGCTTTTAGCTTACCAAGCGGCAAAAACCTGTACTGGCACAAGTTTTTTCAAGGAGTTTTCTGCAGAGCGTCTGCGATTAAGTGTGCCTGTACGATAACCAGTCTCAAATTGTGAGTCGAAAGGAAGATTTAGTTGATATTCCACCGCCATTTTGTTATACGTTCAACTGATTTCTTTGCAGTTTTTATCAGATTCCTCTAGGATTCCATCGACACGAAAACTATTCCGGTCGCTGTGATTCTCAAATATTCCTGCATTTTGTCACAATGATAATCAACTTGAGCCTGCACTTCTCTCAATTCATTTTAGGTTTTGTCATCTGCTCAGTTACTGGCTAAAAAAGGCCTTAATAAATGCTGTTATGGGGAGCGCAAATCCTCTCTCGACTTCGCTTCCATGCGGTAGTGGTCAAAAAGTCTGCTGGCTTGAAATTTAGGGGAAAACAGATACAGGTGACGATTAAGATCTTCGAAGGAGTTTGTTGAAGCTCAGTGAGTGTCTCAGGACTTCCGACAGCTCACATAGTTTCCCTTCCATTCACTCGCAGGATATGCAAGATACTATCTGTGCTTTGCTGCTCCTCTTCGTTGTTGTTAGAGGTATTCAAGGTCTGAATCTACATTAAAATCCACTGAACGTTACTCTGCAATGCTTTGTGGTGCCGGCTGCTGTACTGAGCTGCTCAAGGTGACTCATCTTGCTTTAAAATCGCTGATTAATCGTAATGAAAGTAGAGTCTCAGCGGACGTGAACAATACAGCCTTTGATATAATGCAATACTTTTTTGTGCCATTAACGTTTTATTAACTGTCAACCAGTGTTTGAAATCGTAGCGTTTACTATTTTAATTCAACGTTGTTTGTTGTTAAACAACAAAGCAACAGAAAATGAGGTCAAGGTGGCATGAAGGACAATTTAACTGACATGTTGTTTACAAATAAGTCACCATTACCAAGTTGGAACAGCATTAAAAGCAAGACCTGATGGAGCTTACCTCTCGATTTACAGAGAGGGGGGATGAAAGACAATTATCAACGGAAGCTGCTTAGGACAGTACTCTCCTGTGGCATATTGTTATTTGCTAAACTCTTTCTCGTGAGGTAGAGGCCTTTATCTGAAGCAAATGATCTTGGTTGATACTTATGTGACTGCCAAATGATAGACAAAGGTATGAGTTAATCTCGTTGGTAATTTTGGGCAATTCTGTTCATTTCCTTTTTAAGACTGAAATTCAAGATGCTAGAACAAAGGCCGAATAATACAGTATATAGTCTCAAACAACCCAGTCGATTCATTTAGTATTGCGTCAACACTTGTAGAGTATTGGTGGGTGCTCCACTATTTCTAAATGGACGGGGTATAAGTAAATGAATGTCGCAAGAAAGGTGGGTTCAGTGATTAATGCTGCAGCAAAATTTACAGCTTGTAATAGAAATGCCATTTGTGGTTTTGATCGCGAACCATAAGTTTCTGCAAGATGATAAGCGAAATTCTTAGCCTATCTTGTTAATGACTTCTGTCCGCCTACTGTTGTTTACTAGCAGGATATTAGGTGCTCATATCGCACAATTTTTAGTCGGACGCGATTCTCAAGAAGAATCGCGAGTCTCACGAAAACATCGGAAAGCTGATAAAAGCCGCTCACTATTCGAAATAAGAAAGTGCTGCAAACTGAAGAAGGCTAAACATAAATCATGAGAAATCAGAAAAATGAAACTCAAAATTGATGCTGTCTTTTAAGCCGAAGGAAATGTCCAGAATACTATTTCTCTCTGATTATCCGCGCCCAGATGTCAATGTACATTGCTATCCTCACTGGTAATTAGTACCAAGCTTCAATTGACGTTTCCTTCATGCGAACGACTTTGTAAACGCGAGAAAAGCCATGCAAGAGAGAAACCTCTGCTCGAAGAGTTTACGTTTCCAGGCTATCAGCCAGGTTCGATCGCTATTATGGATATTTTGTTTCTATCCAGTAGTGAACTTCGCTGTCGTATTTAAATGTGGTTACAGGAACTGCCAGTGACGGTCTGAAAAAAATTCATTGTACGGAGTATCCTAATCTTTTGACTTCAAGCGGCGTCGACTGTAAGACTTAACCGGCTATCAAGTGTAGTTCGAATGCTATCACGAATAATCTGTCTGAGGCTTTCATTATGCGCTGTCGCACATACATGCATAAATGCATCACCTTAATTCAATCTTTGGATTTATAAAGTACCCAGCGTAAAGCTAATATCTCCGGGGTAGGAAAAAAAAAAGGAATAGAGAGGAATAAATAAAACTCGTCTTTATGTCGCAAGCTTATGCAGAAGACTAACTTAATTAATCGGGTTGTTTCAGTAAACGGCTTGAGTTGCCTTAGCGTTAAATGAAGCTATCCACGAGGGCTCTAGAACGAAATGGGTGTATAGTGTTCTAGCTGGTGGATTGAGGAAATCAAACCATTATCTGTGGACAAATAGAAAGGAAATCCCTCACGAGCTTGTAATATCTTGTTTATTTTGATTTACCCTTGTACAACATGAACTTCACCACGAGACATGAAAACTGTAGTAATTACTATACCCCCTTTAAGATTTAAAACGCGGTTATTATTGGCTTTATCATGATGTAAGACAGACGTGTTCACGAATCCTCAAAATCGGTGAACACAGAAAAAATAGTTATTTCGTTGATTATTTATTTCTGTGCGATATACCACTTTTATGCAGACAAAACGCCATTGTTGTTCCTGTTCGCGGAAAACCCACTACAGTCATATTTTATGTTTAAGAAACTAGCCCTAGACCTCCGTATTTAGTGTGTACGGCTGCTCATGTAAAGAAAATTAATGATGGCAAAGTCACTGTCCTCTTCACGTAATCTAGATATATTGCTCTAATCTTTTACGAGGCATGCTTTTACATGCACACCACAAATAACACCAGACTGGAGAGCTTTTAGTAACATCCGCACTCCTCCACAACGATATCCCTAATAGTTTTAATCAGGTAGCCTTTTTTGTCAGTGACTAAAATCAAGGTTATCGGCTTCAGCTTGGAAGGAATGCAGCACGACCCATCTTTGCCTTTGATTCCGTTTTTCTGCGACACGAACGCCTTTAGGATAGAGTGGTTGATGAATCGTGCCTTTCCAGTGTTGCTGGAGCAGTTTCCGGAACACTGGTATGCGTTAAAGGTTCTGGGATAAATGACCTTAGCTGTCTTACCGAATTCGAGTGATTCTATGACCATGTCTTCCTTTCTGCAGGGTAATCGTGCCTTTCCAGTGTTGCTGGAGCAGTTTCCGGAACACTGGTATGCGTTAAAGGTTCTGGGATAAATGACCTTAGCTGTCTTACCGAATTCGAGTGATTCTATGACCATGTCTTCCTTTCTGCAGGGATTCTCGTTGGCGGCCATCTTTGAGGGTGAATTGTCGCGTCTCATTCTACTACCAGAGGATCCGCTAGTCTTCAGATTGAAAGTCAAATAAGGAAAGGCCTCTCCCTGCTGGGCTTCGCTGTAGACAACCAGCCAAACCTTGGGAATTTCCACATCATCTGTGATAGCGGTTGCAAATCCACCACTTGATTTGACAAAAACCTTGAACCTCAACGGTGCATCTTTACGGGCGATCCACCGTTTAACAATCCTGGTCACAGGAAGAGACAACCATCCTGACTGATGCGAAGACAGTTGTCGGGAAGACATTTTCACACTTGTTCGTGTCTCATGAATGGACACCGTCAGCTTCTTGTTGGCTCCTAACTGGTGGGTTGAGAGGAAAATCTCTGCTTTGCGAATAGTCCCTGCTTGTGCTTTGACATGTGGCGGCAGCAAAAACTCGTCTGTTTCTTGATTCCCTACAAAGGAAATTGATGCTGTTTCCATTTCCGTCTTTCATCATTTTCTCAGTAATGCTAGCAATCGCTAAACTTTCAAATTTTCACTGAACTGGGCCACAAACAGTTTTTTCCTTCTTTTGATTATGGACCCACCTTTGTAGTTGATGCATGACAAAATGCGCTATCCTAGAGAAAATAAACTTAGGTGTCGACGCTGCTTCAACTAATGAACGTTTCTGTGTATAAACAAGAAAATCATCTATGGCCTGTTAATGAAACTATTAAAATGTTGCGTGCAAAGAAGATCAACCATTAGAGATAAACTTCGCGTTATCTGAAGCTCTGGTTTAAGTCCCAGACATTACCAATGTCAGCAGCCCATAACGTCCTGCCAATGTTGACTTAACAATAAACGAAAACTTACTAGTTGCAATTAAATAAGAATAGCTTACATTGTGCTTGGAAACTCTCCAGAAAATACGCCATTCCATGAGCTTCATTTTCTTCTACGAGTTCTTCGTAGAATGTCGAAAGGAATGATGGAGTCTCAGTCTTGTTCCCTTCAAAAGATATGTCTTCCTTTTCGGTCACCTTCCGTTCGTCTCCGATTGCTATTGAGCAAGCTATGAAGGCTTGAGAGGAGAAAAGTAAAAAGGACAGGCAAAGCTTCATCTTTTTATTTCCGATACTGATTAGCTGATCTGTGGGGAATACGTCTTTCAAATACGTTAACACCCGCAAAATGATTCCCAGACAAAAAGGCTGTTCTCTTCTATCACCCTCAAAGACCTCCATGGATCTTGACCAATCAATTTTTTTTCTGGGTTTTTACTGAGTGTACGGATCACGTGAAGTAAGGTGACAAAAAAGAACCTTTTGTCGAACGATATCTGACACTTACACTCTGCCATTTTGGCGGGGTACATAAAAGCTATCGAGTTTTGTCGTTGTTTTTGTTTTGCTTTTCGGGGGACATTGAAATTTATTGATATTTTTTTTGTCTCTCTTTTCACATTTTGGGATAGCTTATTAGTTTTAAATTATTCAATATCTGGCTAAAACAACAGGACAAAATTCATCTGAATGAGGGGGGGTGAAGGGGGGGGGGGTCCGAAAACCGCAATACTGCACTTAGAAGAGCGAGAAAACCGCAATACCGCGTACCCAAATACCGAAACCGCAGTTACAAATTAGATAAAGTTGGCGTTTTCTAGCCTACAGATCCGCCTTCTAAGTAGAGATGTTTACATATCATTGGATAAAAAGGTTAATGTCGTTAATCATGTTTGCGCAATACGGTCCGCGACTGTGCAACTAGGGAGAGCTTAGCTGTGGCAGGCCCGAACGCAGGTCACGCAGGCTCATAACTGCATACCGCTTGGAATCTGAAAACCGCAATATGCCGTACTTTGAAATAAAAATTACCGCAAAACCGCAGCAATAAGAACGCAAGACCCCATTACCGCAAACCCTTCCGCACCCCCTTTAAATGACCGGTATGAGCACGGGAAAGGAAACCAATAAATTCCTTTCGCCAAGGACAGACAAGGACTGCCATACTGAGTTCCTAGTTCTTGTTCATCGATGAACTTTTATTCCTTCTTTCCATTTCTTCGCACTTTATCGCTTTCTCTTCTCCAGGGACCGCGGAGACCATTTTAAGGTGGTAGGGCTAAAAACTCTGGCCAGTATAAAGAAACATTCAGGTCGATGTTTCGCCATTTATCTTGCATTTGCGCGCCATCTTATTTACCACCTCAACAAATATAACATAAACGTCCACAAGTGTTATACTATCCAATATAGCCAATATGTTAAATAAACCTTCTGAGGTTGCTACTTTTTGAAGTTGCCCGAAGTGCCGAAGCTTCTCTTGCGATTCTTATTGCAGGAAACAAACTCCTGTGTAGCTATAGAGACACTGTCTATTCTCCTCTTGTGACGATTCAACACTGCTAGGTCACCCATCCTGGATAGAAGTCACCTCTTCAGACGCCGTGCAGATGAGAATGAATGCTCGTCAGCAGCGCTGGTTGCAGGATCTACAGCAGGCAGCTTACAGATAATTTGGGCTTTCTCTTAGTTTTGGAAACTTTGACACCGCCAACAGGATTTCGTCAAAACATGCTTTTTTCTCCTATAACATAACTTCCAAAATACTTAGTTGCATGCCCAGGTAGCGCCCCTGTATCAACATCTTCTCTGTATGATGCTTCAAGAAACTTGAACTCTGCTTCATAGTCGTCACCATTAGCAGCTTTAACCAAGAGGGTCTCCATCTGGGCGTAGGAGCTGAAGCTTTCCTGATAGATAGCACTGACGATAAGATCAACAGCCTTATAATAGACCCTTCTAAAGTGATCTTTGGCAGTTTGGGGTAGCTTGGTGCACCAGCACCAACCTCCAGTCTGGCCGAACTGCATCGCTTTCAGTGGAAGCGGTGGTTTACCAAGCAGGCCTTCGCTCTTGCGCGAAATATTAGCATAGAAATGGTCGAAGCTTTGATCACAGGGCATTTTTTTGAGCGTCTCCTTTGTTAGATATGCCAATGTCAGGCCTTGTCCACTGACAGCAGCCACCTTAGTACCCTTAAGATCCTTAGATAGATTATCGGCGTGGGAATGAAGCCGTCCTCCAAGATGCAAACCAAAGAAAAAGTCAAATCGTTCCATTTAGGTCTTACATCCTATTATCCTTGCACATCGGGTTATAATCGTTCGGACAAGCAAATATCCCACTCTTCCATAAGAACTGCATAGTTGTCAAGGATCATCGAAAACAACTGGCTCTAACCGTCCACCTTTTAGGGAAAAGTCCAATAATTCCACGATAACTTTTTCCAGGTCAACTGGAGCCCTAGAAAATAAATCCCAGCAAAAAAGTGGTAGGGCTATAGCCCTATCAGCCCCTCCCCCTCCGCGTTCCCTGTTCTCCCAGTATAACCCCACTGGAGAGCCTGGAGCTAGATCAGAGCAAGATGAAGCTGAATGCGTGCTCCTTGTCCGAGCGAATGCAAATGCCATTTTTCCTCTGTTTACATCTTCGGGGGCTTATTCACTATCAATCAGAACTTCCGACCTGGGGGCTGAAGGTTTCTCTTTTTTTCTTATCTTTTTTCTAATAATTACCTTTATTCATCATTTTTGACAGTTCATAGTTTTAACTGAAATACTTAATGCGGAAGTATGTGTGACACAGCCCATGTACACAGCACATATTTAAAAATTTCGTCTACGTCAGGCCTGCAGGCTTTATGGAAGCTGGGGAGCTTATTTCTCTTTTTTGGCGCTTAAAACTGAGGTTAACCAGGAGGCTTCTTAGAGTCTCAATGCTAAATTGAGAAAATACGTAGTTATCTTACCCTCTTAACTTTGTTCCCAGTTAAATTAATCCACCTTCTTTTCTACCAATATAAAAAAAAAATCGTGAGGGCAAGGTTGTACCTCTCCCGAGATTTCCTACTTCGTTTCAAGTGGTCTCCCTAAAAAATCAAGGCCCTGAAACTATTATAAGGTTTTAATTGACTGTCATTGCTTGGGCAAAATAAAGAAAAGGACTGCCAATCAACAAAAGGTATTCTTAAAAGAGGGAGTCCTAACAGAGATGACTGACCCTAGATATCGCACAAGCATGATTGTTAATTACCTTGGCGGGATGTCAAAATGGGAGCTAAACCTCTCTCAAAATAGCAATGTTTATTGGCTATTTTCCCTACTCGGTTGTTTACAGGAACAAAAGACACGCAAAGGATGGCCCCAGAGCAGACACTCGAAAATTTGCCGTAGCGGTTTCTACAGGTTTACTCTTCGCCGTTCAATTACTTGTCTGGAAGCTTTGAGCAGGAATTTCAGCCGTCTCCGAGAGTCGCACAATTCCAGCCAAAGAAAGCCTCTTGGGACTGTACGACTCGAGGAGACGGCTTCAATTCGTCGCCAAAAACCAGGCTATTTNGCCCTGAAACTATTATAAGGTTTTAATTGACTGTCATTGCTTGGGCAAAATAAAGAAAAGGACTGCCAATCAACAAAAGGTATTCTTAAAAGAGGGAGTCCTAACAGAGATGACTGACCCTAGATATCGCACAAGCATGATTGTTAATTACCTTGGCGGGATGTCAAAATGGGAGCTAAACCTCTCTCAAAATAGCAATGTTTATTGGCTATTTTCCCTACTCGGTTGTTTACAGGAACAAAAGACACGCAAAGGATGGCCCCAGAGCAGACACTCGAAAATTTGCCGTAGCGGTTTCTACAGGTTTACTCTTCGCCGTTCAATTACTTGTCTGGAAGCTTTGAGCAGGAATTTCAGCCGTCTCCGAGAGTCGCACAATTCCAGCCAAAGAAAGCCTCTTGGGACTGTACGACTCGAGGAGACGGCTTCAATTCGTCGCCAAAAACCAGGCTATTTAGGACGTCATCAATGCAAAACTAGATTCAAAGTCCGGGTTAGCCGTGACCGTGGATTACGATTAAACTACAACTGACAGAGCACATACATATGTCTGGGCATGCAACCAACCTATGATTTGGGCTAATCGACCCAGAGTAATGAAAATAGTAAGAAATGACAATTTCAATGAATAAAACATTTTTTAAAAAGTTTTCAAGACATGGTTTTATTGATATGATGTGAATTTTCAATGCTTGCATTGGAGTGCTGATGGAGGTTTTGGGCTCCAATGCTTACAATATTTCATTAAGTATTTAGGAAAATAAAATATAACAATGAATTCTCAAAGAAAGATAAATTAAAATCCTTTACTACTGCTTTTAAGTTGGATTTTCCTCTCAGATAATTCAATAATCTATAATAATAATATTTATTATTATTATTATTTATTATTTATTAACATTACCATTTTTGTTATTTTCAACTATTAAAACAATCTTCTTTATTTTCCGGTAGTACTTGGCAGCAGTATTTCAGCTGACAAACATGTGCTCCTCGAATCCCAAAGAAAAAAAGTGGCGTGATTTCAGATATTGTTTAATACGGACTATTTTGCTGACATCTGATCTAGCAAGTGTCAAGTATGTTAAACGACTCCTTTAAGTTTTAATCCCTTCACAGAGGACAGTGCTGCCACATCAGGAAATGTCGAAATTCTAAAATTTCGGTTTACTATAAACCGTAAGTTTGAGATAACAAGTTGTTGGAAATGACCGAAGTCTTTATTTGCTTCATAGTGTAACATGCTTATAGTTTTAGGGTAACTTTTCTTCGAAAGAAAACGTAAAGAAACTTTTTTCCAGGGCTAGTTGTAGTAATTCTTCAAACTGAGAATGTAAACAAACTTACTATCTAGTACTTTAATTCAATTCCCCCACAAAGCAGACCCGTCCTTGGACTAGATTATTTGGTAAAAAGACCTTGTCGAAGTGCTTTTTGTGTGATTAGTATTGCCACAACAGAAATGTCTAAAACAAAAATATGAACTGTCAAATAATTTACGTAAACAGTGAGGCTAAATGTTTCATAAATAACTACTATAAGTAGAAATCAAACTATTGAATTTGATTTCAAGCTCGACTTTAATTGGAACACTGGACAAAAACAACGCAAACACACAAACATGAAGATGCGTTTCCTCTGAAGTAATCTATTAGAGCCATCGTGAAAGTATTTTATTGTTTGGGGGCAGTCATCAGTCATTAATATTTCCTGCATACAGTGAAACCTGTGTTAAGCGGACACCCTCGGGTAATGCTGTAATGTCCTCTTAATACAGGGTGTCCGCATAATACAGGTTTCGATAGATAACGTCATATGAGGTGTCAAATGCCATTCAAATGAACAGTGGAAACGTTTAGAATACTCCCAGAGACTATGATAGATTGTTCACAGTCCCCTATTTTTTCGTGAGATCCTTTAGATATACCGCGTCTTACCGTCACGGCTATCTTGATTTTCCAATGTACCGAGGGGGCGGGCGTCGGGGGTTATAGCTCTAGGGAGGGCTCCTCCCAAACCGCCCCCGCCCCCCAGGTAGTTTTGACACTCATGCAAGATAGCAGCCCGTAACGCAAAGCGTTCGATCTGGATGATCTTACGGAAAAATAGAGGACTGTGAACAGTCTAATCTTATCAAGATTATCCTCTTAAATTAAGGACAAAAGGGCAAAACAAATGGACAAAAGAATTTTTCTATTGTTTCTGTTTTGATTAATGTTTATCCCCGGCGTTTATCGCATTTAAACATCCCCCCCCCCGGATTAAACATATATTGGCATCCTTTAGTCTCGAAAGACTATAGTGTTGCGCTCTGATTGGTGGTTCTCGAACAGCGCCTTGTGTGGCTGAAAAGACCAATTCGGGAATAACAGTCCCTTACACGCAGTGAGCAGATGTGGTCAGTTGCTGGTCTATCTCCCTGGTTTCGGGCCTTCCTCGTTTGTCTCTTTGTCTCAGCTTGTTCGGCAAGTGTATTTTCAAACTCGTAAAGGCCTTGCTGCACTGCCTGCCTCCAAGTTGCACGCTCTGAAGCCAAGGTTTCCCATCCGTTGATATCAATGACCAAGGCCTTCAGGTCTCTCTTGCAGACATCTTCATGCGGCCATTCAACAACCGTTTTGCTATTTCCAACAGTACAAATTCTTTAGCCTTTGATGTGACCGTGATACTCCTGCCTTTTTCGGGAAAGAGGATCAATTGAGGTGTCTGGGTAACTGACCACCTTATACCCTTCCCCGGGCAACTCTCGCGTAGGACAACATTTTTCGGAAAAACCTTGCAAACGTTTTTCTCATTGTAATACCATCAAGAAATATATCGTCAGCGATCCATTTGGCTCAGAAATCGAGATTCAAAGTGTTAAATTTGCCGCTTACTCGAACTTCCGCCATTAACGCTTCGATTTTGCCTATCACGTGACGTGACGTCACAGGTGTGGAACAACAGATGATCTCGAATATGGCTGACTGTAGTTCTTCAAGTGATAGCGCTACCTCTTTGTCCGATTATTCGGATGTACAAGAACTTTTAGAATGCGAAGTATAGGGCAGCCCTTCACGGGAATTCAACCCCGGCGTTTTGACCGGCCGGAAGATCGTCCGAAGCTGGTGAAGTTTGTGCGTCGCCAGAAAACATCGAGCCTGCCACTCGCCCGCTGCGATCTCGATAGTGAAGAATGGTGAGTGCCTAGATGGTTTTGAACAATTCTTGTGTACAGTGCGAACCGCATATCGCTTGATTTCATCAATGCTATGAATGCTTCAAATTGTAAAAGGAAAAGCACTAATTAAACACGCATTTGTTTTTGTATACTGAGCGTTTATAATTTCACATGTATTATGTATTTCACAATAGTAGTCGAAAGCGTACCTTCCCCTTGTAACGATTCCCTGCTAGCAGAGGTCTCTCACGACGAGGCAAAAATAATCTGGGCAAGTTGTCTCAGTGTAGTTTTTTTTTTTAATTTCTGCTTTAATCCTGGTTTTACAAAAAGCAGTAATTCATATCGGAAGCAATGACTACGCTCTCGTAATCCGTTGACCGCAACGCAAATGAAATTTCCATATCTTTGCCTCTTGACAGCCGTTCATGCTCGACTCGTGGAGTGCTTGCACTTTAGAATTTGTCTCTTTTGTTGTTATACAGATTGTTATACATAATAATTGAAAGGCGCTGTACAGTTGTTTTCCTACAAGTCGTTCACTTACTTTTACTTTGTCTTGCTCTGTCAATGAATTTGGTTCAGAAGTTATTATTCTAGCTTCTATGTATCCTGATGTTATTATGAAGAGAATTTAAAGTTGGGATGAGATACACCTCCATACACATGTGAACTAGCTGCTTGCATAAAACGTGTCTGCTCCCCAGTATATGATTTTTGAGGCTGGGACATGTCATATTCACTTATGTTTTTGTCTGGAGCATAACAATGGTTGTGTTAACTACAATAATATTGTATTTCATGGGATATACATGTAACTGCAGGAATTTCTATACCTAATACGCCCAATATTGAAAACGTGTACATATTTGAAACTATTTTGTGGTTATGGGCTGGAGATAGTATGATGAAGCCATAAACGTTAAAGAGTGAATAAGCTCAAAATTGAAATAATATGTCTTGACTCATAGCAGTTTAATAATTTTCTGGGTGCAGAATGAAAAGGTCAATATTCAACACTTGTTTTGTTGCCCTTCATTAACCGACGTTCAGTATTTATGACTAAAGAAAATAACTACTATTGAATGTTTGCAAGGTGCTTTTATGGCTACTGCCAGACAATGTGATGGCAGGAGGAAAATATCTGCTTCCAAGAGGTGGCTGTTTGTAAAATGTAAATATTTGGAGGCAGTTGAAGTTGAAAATATGGAGGAGCCTCCAAAGTGCCTAGTGGAACACCCAGGATTCCAGGCAGTTTTCCTGAATTACTGGGTGTTACGAGCTGCATGGCAATACAAGCAGCAGTATGGTGCCTTGGAATATGAAGAATCAGATCATAAAAAAAGCAGGCACATTGCCTTCAGGCCTTGGAAGGGACATAGGAGTTACATTACTGTCCTTGATTCCTGTGCAGTTAAGTGCATACGACCTCATTTCCAGGAGCCTGAAAGGTTGGAAGATGAGATGGAGTTCAGAGGATTCCATTTTGCAGATGAATAAATATATGATATATTGCAAATAACCCTACTTTATATAAAACATGATGCAATTTTCACACTCACCACTGGAAGACTGGGCTAGAGCAACTTTTTTGCCATTAAAATGGTTGCTACCCAGCAAACAAAATGCCCCTAATTCAAATATGCAGCATGGAAATGTCAACAATAATTGTTGGAACTAAAAAACCTGTAAGACTACATGGTCTTTTAAAGTCCAATGGTGTGTGGGAAATACATAATTCTTCTCTCTATTTGCTCACAGCTTCTGAATAATAATGGTGGATTAGTGTTTGACTAATAACATGTCGCCCTTTTTTTTCCAACAGGTGTGATTGTTAACTGGGAAAATCTATATCTTAATAATAAAATGATATTTTATTGTTCATTGCTGTATATCTTTAGGTTATAATTGGAAATACTCATTTTTAAATTAGAATTTACTAATGGATTGTTTCCATCCATCTTGCATATTTTAATTGATAAGGCAATAATAATAAAGAAAACTGGTCACAGTTTAAGTGGACCATACAGTGCATGGTCATCTAAGTCACTAATTGCAGTAGTGACCTAGCTTAGCCTAAACTACAAAGAATCAAAACATTGCAGGGCATTTTTTAGTTGACTAGGCTGGAAAGATTTTATCTGCTAACGAAAGAACCCGTTGCCTCATCTCTGTTGGGCCTCTCTATGGATGCAGCAAGTAGTGCAGGGGTATTCAGTTGCAGGTTCAACATGTAGTTTTTTAAAGCCCTTGAATTTTCTTAATAGCCAACAAAGACTTTCGGTTATGGTGCTTGAGCCATAACCTTCAATAAAAAGGTTCATACTGCAGGAGTGAACCTTGCCTAGTTCTTTCTTCTTTTTCGCTCCCGTTATGGATCGCATTTTTCTTCTTGGAATTTTCCATAAGTACCGCGTCGGGGATTTAAAAACGGGTTAATAATTTCTTTTTTCCTTTCTTGTGAGAAGTCCCAAAGGGAAGTATTGCAAAAGAAGCGTGACACGCGTGCTATCAAGGCAGTTTTATAGTGTTCGCAGGTAGGACGGGTACAAAGTACCGCTAAAGATAATGAAGCAATCCTATTTTAATCAATTTTTTTAACCGTTTTAATTTCCTTCTATCCTTAAAAGGCACATTACATGTAATTTTAGCGTGTGTGCAGGTTTTGCAATGGAATGACGCTACAATCTCGAGAGCACATCTCGAATAACTACATTCAAAATAATGATCATAAAATCGCAACTTTCGGCGAGAAGTGAGTTTTATTTCGCGTGTTTAGGAGCAAAGGTAAATGGATAGAACCTGCAGATTTC